ATTATGCTGCTTTTGAATTATGAGRCTCTCTCTACAGCTCTAATCTACAGAAACTAATAATGTCAGGAAGTGGTTAATCACTGACATTTTAAATTTCCTTSTAAATAACAGAACAACAGTGACCAAAGAACTAATTGTCAGCTCGTGATTTTGACTCAGTCCTATCCGTCCTCTCGAGGATGATCAGCATGAATGAAATCTTTGTGCGCTTCAGTCTGCAGCCAATCCTTCCCTTTCGAGGGGGGGCAGTTTGTTCCACAGATGCCTACGAGCGGGTCGAGGGCAAATTCTCCCTGACCTTGTCGCTCTCTAACCTCTGAAATGCAGCCAAGCACGCAGAGTAAACTGGAGGGAGGATAAACATGTTTGCAGAGGGCCGGCTGATGGGATTTCAGAGCAGCACAGCTTCTCAGTCAGAGGGCTGAGTGGTCAGACTGCTTGGCCTGCGATTTGAGACACTCGACAAGAAGCTGCCCGCTGATGTCCTGTGGTGTTTACAGAAACTGCAGGAGGATCTCACCCACTGTGGAAGAATCAGATCTCCTCTTTCTGCAGCTAAACTGCTTTCCCAGCAAATCGTGTGTGATGCTCCAGTTTTGGTAGTTTAAAATTTTTTTTAACATTTAACTACTTAAATCTGATAAACCAGACAAATACAAAATGAGCTTTACTGCTAGACTCTAACTTGGAGAAAGGAGTAAAAATGTTTGCAGTTTACTGCACAAAATGAAACTTCACAGAGACAAAGTGTGGAGTTATTGGAACCTGCAATATTTACAGTATTCTGTACATGCCATAAGGGACCAAATGATTATTCACTAAGCTTTTTAGGCTTTACTAAGCTTTTTTCATGTCTGGCTGACATGGTTTCAAGACACAAATTGTGTATTTGTCTTCTCGCACCACTGCTGAACCCCTGCCTTGTGCACAGCCTCCAGGATACGAGTATTGTGTGATTGGTCAGAACCTTGTGGGCGTGTTTGTTTTTGAAAAGCATCTCCAATAATGTTGACCTCATTCCTGCTCCACTGAGGCACTGCAGGCCAAGGCCGTTCAAAAATACAGCCATCTTTACAAAGAACTCGTCATAGATGACTTGATCATTTATGAGCATAAAAGAGACAGCGTGGAGACACAGGCGGCTCTCAGTGACGGTGCTGATCAGGCAGCATTGGGACATGTGGGAGGGTTTACTAGGACTTCTCCCTGCAGTTTTTTAGAATATGTCCATGCATGCAACAAAGAACATCTTACAATCCCATCAGGGGAATTTAATGTCTTACATCTTGTGAAGTATACAGTAACAGGGCCTATTTGGTTCTAAATATTATTATTATTTTTTTTATTATTATACATTTTATTTGTTGGTGTCTTTCTGACACTCAAGGACACCAAACAAACAGCAAATAAGGTCGTGTTCACACCTGCACTGTTTAGTCCGATTTAATTTAACTCTAGTTTGTTTGCCTGGAAAGTCCGGTTTGTTTGTGGAGGTGTGAACACGTAATCGAACTCCGATTCGGACCAAAACAGCGAACTCTGGTCCGCCTGAAAACCAAGGTCTTGTTTCAATTGAAACAAACTCAGGTGCGGTTCGATTGCATGTGTGAACACTAAACAGACCAGAGACCYCRCCAAAAGCAGYAAGTGGACTATACCACAGGACATTCTGAGTAATAACAGTATTAAATGTACTTATATGGTGTAAATACCTCGCTGGACGTCTGTATAAGGTGGACATCATYACTGTGGAGCTGGACGCACTCCTACTGGATTAACATGGAGCTTCTTCAGCAGCCTTGTGTGTAAAAACAACATTCTCCGTGGTTCSYCCTCATCTTCCTCTCATGCTGAGCTCATTGTTGAAGACTATTTGTTTAGCACATTTGCCAAAAACAAAAAATAAACCCTATAACCACTAAAATGTAACATTACRATTGTTTGTTTACATTTTGTGAAGAAGGAAGTTGTGCTCCATGTCTTCTTCTGAGGTTTTCATGTTGATTCCTTCAGTGGCTCTTGGTGCAGCGCCCCCACAGGTGAGGGTGGGAACAGCTTGTTTACAGGGTTTAGTTTGGTTGATAAAGTGCAGTGTGAATTCAAACCGCACCAACAGAAAATGTAAACAAAGTTTACAGTTTTGGTCCCCAATCAAACCGAGTCTCCCAGACTATCAGGTGTGAATACGACCTAAATTAAAGCATCAAAGGAATAAAAAATGCACATATAAAAAAATACTATTTAAAAAATGCTAAAAACAGACTTCAATATGTGTAACTTTCTCTTTTCCCTTTAAATCCCCTTGTTAGGACTACAGAATAAAGGAACTTTTGTCTGACGATCAGTAAAGTGACCCCAGTGCACGGGACACACAGTTTGTAAAAACCCTCCGTCTCTATAGAAACAAAGATGACGTGCATTTGAACACAACAGTATTCTTTTTTTTTTGGGGTGGGGGGGGGATAGACCTCAGCACTCTTTACAGAGCACTGTCGGAACATCTAACTGTGTTCTGAGAAAGATGACAGAACAAAATACAAAGAACCTAAAGAGTTGGTTCAACCAGCAAAACAAGACGTAACGTGCCCAAAGTTGGGAGTCGAGTCAAACACTCTGGTTTTGTTCTTTACTACAAGACAAGCTTTTAACCTTTTTTTTTTCTTAAGTAATGTCAACACCAGTGTAGATTTATTGCACTTTACAAACAACTAAAGCTGAACCAAAGTGCTGGACTTCAAAAATGACAATACAAGAATATTAGTAAGACTAACATGAAAAAAACTAAAAGAGAACAGAAAGAATAAAAACAAAGTGATAAAATGATTACATAAACACTTTACAAGTAAATATAAATGAAGCTCTCAAAGCTTGAGTCATGAATAAAAGCTGATTTTTCAGAACATTAAGTTGTTTTAAGGATGCAGATATAAAATTATAAGTAAGAAGTAAGTAAGAAGCATTATCTAATGGGTACAAAAACAAACTTAAAAAAACAGCTAAAATTACAGAAACAAGCTAAAACATAGAAACTACGATGGTCACTACTAGCGGTAAAATACTAGCTAAAAATTGCAAAGTACTAGTGAAAAACCAGTAGAAAAATATAATCTAAAAAAAGGTAACAAACACAAACTTAAAAAAACAACAAAAAAGCTAATCAGGCCAAATTGTACAAAAAATTGCTAATTYAAAGTAGCAAAATGCTCACCAACAGATTAAAGAAGCAAACGGCTAACTAAAAATTTCATTAGCAAAATATTCTTGAAACATCAAGGAGCATCAGCAGATGAAATTAGATCCAGTGTGCTGACAATTTTGGAAAAAGCTTTGATGGTTTTTGCTTTCAGTTGAGTTATTTTGTGAATAAAGTTAATTATTTTTAAAAAGTACAAAGGTTTTAAAAACCTGAAAAGTCACAGCATCTGTCTCCTGAACAAGCTAAACTTTCTAAGTATATGAGTTGTTAAAAAATGATGCAGGAGTCAGGCTTCAATAAAACAGAAAAAGAGATTATCAAAGAGAAACAGGAAAATAACAGTGRAAACGCTGACTCAGCATTCARATCTTCATATAATGACAAGTGTCTGTTCTTATCTCTGTTGTGTCTGCTGCAGGAATCCTGATAACAAATATTTCAGAAATGTAAGCATGGCTTCTGTGTTTGAAATACAGCTGGGTTTTATTTTTATTTTTTTCTATGAAAAGACCATTTAAAAGATGTGCTTTCTGTAAAGTGTTTGTTTCATGCCTTACAAAGAAACAAAAAGGAATAAGTGTTTTCTGTCAAATACAGAGCAGAAAAATCAGTGCAGAGCAASACAACAGAGGCTCACAGTGGAAAGATGAAGCAGTAAGACAGGTGATAAAGTGAGCTTCAGCTCAGCCCAGTTCTGAGGAACCAGAACCTGCATGATTCAGAAATGGGCTGTGTTGGTTCTGAGGAGCCCAAAGTAACAATAGTTTTAAAAAAACAGATGAGACCTAAAGGTTCTGTCACAGTCATGGTTCGGGCTGTGTATTGGCAAGATTTTGGTGATACGACACATATCACAACACGGGGGTCACGATACAATATATCACAATATACTGTGAWACAGCAGCAATGTATRGCCATGTTTTCCTCCAAAAGATTCAAATMATAAACCTCAGTAAACAGAGCACACCATGCTTTAAATCTGGTTCGTTTTATGCAATCAGAATAAGTGAACAACATTTGTTTTTCACATCCATCCATTATTTTTTTTACCAGCTTCATCCTGTCAGGGGTCCCTGGTGCCCATACCCAGCAGTCAAAGTGTGAGGGGCGGGGCACACCTGGACAGGTCAGAAGTCCATCACAGGGACACAGACAACCAACCAATCAATCACTCTCTCATTCACACCTAAAGGGACACTTTAGTTATTAATAACATTCATGTTTTTGGTCTGTGGSAGGAAACCAGATTTCTTGAAGAAAACCCACACATGCATGGAGAGAACATGCAAACTCTTGGTCCTGGGCAGGAATTTAATTCAGTGACCCTGTTTGTGAGGCAGCAGCTCTGCAGAGCCACGCTGCAGCCCCATCCASCCATTAAGCCTTAATTAAAAACTGATACAGGAAATGAAATATCACAATATTTTAGTGCATTAATATTCTGCTACATCCCTAACCATGACGTCATCACACCTCAGAAAAGAAAGTCCACAATTTTAGAATTAAAATCTTTTCTGGTGCGAAAAGATAAAATCAGTTTAAAGGTTTGATGTCGATCAGCTTCAAACACATCAGGATATGTTTTATCTTTGAAGTTAGATGGTTTTAAGTATTTTAATGGGACAGATTGGGGGCTAGTTTGACATTTTTTAAAGACAGGTGTAGATGACCTACTTTCAAAGGGACAGTGTAGTTGTTTGGAGCATTTTAGATGGTCAGGTTTAATTATGAGGTATTTATGAGGGACGGGTTGTAATTTTTGAGTATTTTAGAAGACAGGTTGTAGTTTTGTTTGTAAACTCACCTGCGTTGTAAAAGCGGTCCAGAACAGTGGTCTCCCCAAAGTCCAGTTTGCCAAAGTTGACAGTGTCCAGTTTGCTGCCCACGCGCTCGCAGGCGTCCTTGAGGCACTGCAGGGCCATGCTCTCTGCGTTGTTCTGCGGGCTCGCCTCGCCGTTCACCACATACGCCACCGTCACCGGCCTGTTTTTACCGGACTTACAGGTGGAGAGCAACCCCCCGCCCTCCAACTGGCCGTCCTCGGGGGTCGGACTGAGCCCCCCGCTGCCAGGAACAAACTGCGGGTCGTGCCAGAAAGTCCCGGCTGCAGGAATCCCAGTGCTGCTGGAATGTTCCCCGCTGGCAGCGGCTGCCTCTCRGCCCGGACCAAAGCTCGGTACCGGGAAGGAGATCCCGTCGTGATCTAGATTCATCTCGTTTCACTGGAAAGGCTTGGTTCCGAACAGCGGCTTGTCCTCCATGGAGAGGCGGCGTTACGCACGGCCGCCGCTCATCGTGGAGCCTCCGCGCACATGATCACGCAACCTTACACCGTTTTCTCTTTGTGTGTGTGTGTGTGTGTGTGTGTGTGTGTGTGTGTGTGTGTGTGTGTGTG